TGATCCCGCTTGCCCTCATCCATACAAGCAATGAGACTTAGAAGCACCTCATCAGCAATTTGAACATAGCCGTCGACATTTGCCTCATTACAGAGACTAACGGAAGGATCAGCCATCCAGCAGCTGCAACCAGCCCAAAGCAAGCAGTACTCACTCTCAGCGAGCCAAAAGCGAACCTGCAGGAGTTTCGGTTGTTCGCGAAGATGCATGTTTGTATGTGTGCATGTATGTATGTGTATGTGTATGTGTATGTGCATGTGTATGTGTATGTGTATGTGTATGTGTATGTGTATGTGTATGTGTATGTGTATGTGTATATGTATGTATGTATGTATGTACGTATGTATGTATGTATGTATGTATGTATGTATGTACATACGTTTGTATGTATGCATGAAAAGACAAAAACATGACATGGAAGGCGCCTGGCACGAAACGTAGAAATTCTCAAGAATTTAGAGGTTTCGTTCTGGAGACGCGCGTCGTTCTGGGAGGATCATGACATGGAAGGTGCCGGGCACGAAACGTAGAAATGCTCAAGAAATTGGAGGTTTCGTTCTGAGGACGTGCGTCGTTCTCATCGAAATTTTCAGGATGCTCCGCACGGGAGCACGATTTTGAACGAAAGAACGCTGAAATTTTTCAGGATGCTCCGCACGGGAGCGCGAGTTTCTTCAAAATTTTCAGGATGCTCCGCACGGGAGCGCGATTTTCTTCAAAATTTTCAGGATGCTCCGCACGGGAGGGTGATTTTCTTCAAAACGAGACAACCTTGAGCGGAGCATTTTGGCATAGAATTGGTATAGGATCCATCCCGTAAACGATCAAATTTTGAACGACGATGCCCACAAATCCTATACCAATCCTATACCGGAAAGCTCCGCCAATACCTCCGTCTTAAGCCAAGAAAGCCACCTCGAACGATGTTCGTTTGGTATAGGATTGGTATAGAATCACCCTCGACATCATCGTTCATAGATGGTCAAAATTTTCCGAATGCTCCGCACGGGAGCGCAATTTTGATCGATTTTGATGAAGACGAAATTTCGAGGATGTCTCGAGCGGGAGCCCAAGTTGTGAAGATACGAAGATGATCAAAACGTCAAAAATCGAATTGTCTCGCGCGGGAGCGCGATTTTTGAATCTTGAATGTTTATAAAGTCCGAAAGATGCGAAATTTTGAGGATGTCTCGCGCGGGAGCGCGATTTTCAAAAATCACG